GGTGGTGGGGGGGGGGGGGGGGGTGGGGGGGGGGGGGGGGGGGGGGGGGGGGGTTGAGGTCTGGCGTATGCGCTGTGGCAATTTTTTTTTATACTTGTCATTGTAAGTCTTTGTGACATATCTGGATTTTCCTGTAATCTGCAGTGTTTAATAAGTCATATGTTATTAAAGATAGAAATGACCAAGTACTGCACCGTTTACACTGACAAATAGCAGTATGGCAAAAATTTAAGGAAGATATTTCGGGGGGGGGGGGGGGTTTGAACCCCATGAACCCCCCCCTAAATACGGCCTTGAATGCCAAGTTACATTCACCTAACAACTAGCTACAATTATTGTCAGTAAAATGCAGTGAAGTAGAAATGGGGCTGACTGCAGCCGGAAAAAAAACTAGGCCCTAGACGTTAAGAACCCAGCAAACAAGGCTACGTTGGACCAACGTTGTATCAACGTTCCGAACGTTTATTCGATGTTGATTCAACGTTGATTCGACGTTATGTGTTTCAAATTGTTTGAAACAATTGTTTGCTGGGAAGTGGAACGTAAGCGAAGATTGAGCATACACTTGAGTCTAGACCGGTCTAGACCGTTGATCCAGTAAGGCATCAGGTGGAAGCAACCATGCCCACCAAGATCTAAAATTCAACACAATTTTCTACTCATTTCTTTTCATCTCATATTTCATCGGGCTGTATAGATTTAAATTCAGGACCCTTTGAGAAGAGCGCTCCATGCAAATGCCAAATATTCTAGAAAGACTGGTCTGGTGTAACGATAAATTGGTCATTGCCCCTCTCTGGTCTAGCTGAATACTTTCCGTTGGCTGCAATACGTTAGATTCAGGCTTCCGGCCAGAATGAGCAATCGTTTTCTGTTGATACTGTCCTTCATTGTGGATGCCCATCTTCCAGTGTAGCCGTTAGGCTTGCTGAGCCACTCGGTTCCGTGTAGTAGCTTTGCCTAGACCCTAGAGCAGAGGTCTCAAACTCGTGGCCCGCGGGTTGCATGCGGCCCGCGACCCACCTGCGTACACCGAGAGAGAACCATTTCAGGCCCATGAGACACAATCAGGGAAAACCTTCAGACTTTTTTCTCTTTGGCCCACAGAGAGGTCCGACCTTGACGATGCGACCCGCACACCGAAACGAGTTTGAGACCCCTGCCCTAGAGGGACTTCGGCTGATATTACGTTTGACATGGTGAATCTGACTTTCTCTATAAAGGATCCGAGGCACTGACAAGGAAGGAGTAGAAAAGGGTCTTGAATGTTTTATCGGGTGGGCGTGGGCATCCCCCCGATGACGCTGCCTTTCTGGATCAATAGTCTGGAGTAAGCCCACTTTGCTTCGTTACATAACTTTCTTGGTTTGGTTGTAATATAGGGACAGGCAGTATTAAAATAGTTATATTTCACATATTTAAATTTAAATACGTATTTCAATACATTTGGGGCATATTTTACTATACAGTGTGTCCCATAAGTCACTTGGGGAATTGTTATTAACGTAATTTGGGAATGGCGTAAGATATTTTGGATCTGTAAACTGTATGGTGATCTGCTTTCTAGTAAGTTTTACTGACAGCATTTTTCTTTTCTCAGAATACGTTCGAGGAAGACAGCAAAATATGCTGACGTCGGAACGAATCAACATCGTTCTGTGAACGGACCAGTTTGAATCTGCAACACGAACAAGACATGAATTCCAGCGTCTGTACCCTGTCGAGACTGTTCGTGAAAACACAACCAGTGACATTCCCAAGAAGTTCTGAGCAACTGGCAGTGTCCATGATAAGAAAAGAAGCAGACGTCCATCCCTTTAGATGAAAGAAAAGACATTAAATGTTGCCAGTTAAACTTACTCAATACCCAAGAAACACAAGAACGTTCTCGAGGACGTGTTCAAAGAAGTTTCGGGAGTCCAATGTTCACGGATGAGCAGCTCTTAGGCGCTCAGTTAAGGTTTGATCACTGATACATGACATGTGTTGAACGTTAAAGATACCTTTTCTTTAAGTATATCTATGCTATTCATCTGGCAGTTGCTCGATCAAAGGTTCGCACAACCGAAGCGAGATGACGTCAAAGTAGCCGTTATAGCGAATCGATACCTGATACTACTTGATTGGTCCTCGATACTTTCCATACGGTGTCCGATCTTTCTCCACAGAAATCACATGGAAAGCATCGGAATTCTTCAATAAATTGGTCTAAAGAGGTAACCCAGTCCAAGGAGTCTCCGGAAAACTTGTTCAGAGGATGGAGGGAGGATGGTTCAGCTTCCAAGGTGACTCCTTGCGAAGTCTCTTGGATGAGCGCATAATAATGCATGACATCGCTTTCGAAAGAAAAGCTCGTGCGGAGCGTGTCAAAGCCTTCAAGAGGAAATTGTTTAGGATGTGATGGATGTTTTCACACTGATTCAATTCCGACACGCAACTTCGAAACAGGAAAAGAACTGTGGACCTGATGGAAATATCAGGGTGAGTTCTACTCCTGTCAAGTAATTTTGATTCACACAAATAGACGGGAATACTATTTTCCAACACGAGGGAAGATAAGAGAAGCTCGGCTGCGGTTGATGGCCTCTGTCACGGGAGCAGGGCATGGGCTCGCAATTTGGATGATGAAAGGATCGTTTCCAAACTTTGACGGAGAAAATGGAGAAGTTAATCAGCACAACAGGTATTGGTACCCAGAAAGCTCACACTGGATGTCTGGTTTCAAAGAACAGGGCGGCCAGAAGATAAGTTTAATGGTGTGGTGTGGCATATGGAATAAACGAATATGGAGGAATATGGAATAAAATCAGTGGCCCTTTTTTTTTTTTTGAAGGACATGTCACTGCTGACAATTGTTTGGAAATGCTACGAGAAAAAAAAAAGATTATTTCTCTGTCAGATGCGAACTCTAGAGAATCCTTATGGTTTCAACAGAATAGTGCACCACTGCATCATAGACTTGAGGTTCGAAATTTGTCTGCATGAAAGATTCTCAAACAAATTGATTGGCCGTAGGGGCCTCATTGAATGACCAGCATGCTCGCCAGACTTGAGTTCACTTGATTTCTTCCTTTAGAGCCACCTCAAGGCTTAAGTTTACACCAAAAAGATTCGAGACACAGAGCATCTGAAAAATTTCAAACGAAAGGAGTGTGAGCAAATATCCTCAGAAATGTCTGCTAACGGGGAATGGCGGAAAGGAGCTAGATCAAACGGATCCAGTTATGCTTCGACATTTGAGAACATGTTGAAGCAGCGATGTGAACTATGGGTCCAGATTTTTGGGACACCCTGTATACTAGATAGTTCTCTGCAAGGGCGGCGTAGAGTCGGAAGAGGGGGGGGGGGGCACGAGTCCCCCCACTTTTCAGATGAAGAACATAAATTAGGAAAGGAAGCAAGATATGCCTGAGCAGTGTCCTTGAGTTCCGATGGGTCCCCCCCCCCCCCCCCCCCCCCCCCCCCCCTTCGCCCGGGGCCCCCCCCCCCCCCCCCCCCCCTCCGCAGTCGGCCACGCCATTGGATAAGAAATGATCCAATAATCATCACGAGAGTAAGTCTACACCACGGAAGATCAACGTAGCGAGCATATTCACGCACAAATCGTGCTGGGTCCGCAAAAAATGCAGCAATAAAACGTAAAATGCTCCATTACCGACATAGGTAATCTTAGGCCTGGGATGTGCAACCAGCGGCCCGTGGACCTGCTTCTTGCGGCCCGGGAATGCATAATGGGATAACAGATAAAAATAAGTTTATTTGTGGCCCAAGGCCCATCACAACTTTGGCTATACCTTAGTATCTAGAAATAGACTGAGTTCTTTCACTTCCTCCCCTAATTATTCCTCACGAAGGCGGCTATGTCCCGAGGAAGAAGGTTCTCAATGCCAGAGGCTATTTTTGGGCGTTGGTATTTCCTAGGGGTGGGGAAGAAGTAAGGGTCATCAGCCAATCAGCGCGACCTTATGTCCTCATATGCCCTGTGGGCAAAAGAGGGGAGCCTTGTCTTTTGCATTCTATGGAGTCGCGGAGTCAGACATTTCCATGCAGCCCACTGCCGATTGAGGTTGTACGCTCCTGTCCTAGGCATGAGTGGATCACAGAGGGGTATAAAAGCAGCAGCCACGTTGCTGCAGGAAGACCACCTGTCGTGATCAAGCGTTTACACCACAGTAATTAATGATGAAGTTTACGTTATGTTCCCTCGAGGAATCAGGGGAAAGAGATGAATATTTTAAAATCCATCAAACATTCTTTATATTCTGGTCAACACCCTATAGGTAGCTCGACTGTCTTTTATGGTTCCCTCCGGCATTGGCTAACCTATCTCCTTTTTCCCGAGCACCACAGATATTTGGAGGGGTAAAAGTAAAAATACGCACTCGAAAAATAAATAAACATGTTATTCCAATTAATGAGAAAGTGATGAACACCAACCATGTAGACGGCAAGATAGCGGACGGCGGTGTCGCGGAAAAGGCGGTCGAATTTCACCATCCAGTATGCGGATGAAATGTATCGATCGAAGACTACTGTGACCACATTCTCGTTGATCTCTGAAGATGCCAGATCCTCCTGGTACACCACCAAGGAATATTCCTTCTGAAAAGGAAAAGGCAGTCTTCGCAAAATTGAGCAGAAAAAAAACTAAAATATGTGAGGCCATCCACTGACGGAGGTAGTTCTTCCGGAAAGCTTCTCGAGGAAACTCTCTTCTTCGAGTGAAATTGTCGTCCCTATGTCTGACAATTCTGAGACCCATGTGTTGGAACCACGAGTAGACTGAGACTTGGAAGATTCCCTCGGAGTCGACTTGGAAATTCCATGCAGAGGAGATTCTCCATGATTCGACCTTGACGATTGCCCTGACGGCGGGGAAAATTCACCAGAAGTTGGCTCATGGGGAGATTGGTCCGGAGTCAACCAAGATGATCGACCTGGAGTTAGCCCATTTGAAGATTGGTCTAGAGTTGGTCTGTCTGAAGATCGGTCCAGAGTTGGCCTATTTGAAGATTGATCTAGAGTGGACCCATTTGAAGATTGGTCCAGAGTTGGCCTATTTGAAGATTGATCTGGAGTGGACCCATTTGAAGATTGGTCCAGAGTTGACCTATTTGAAGATAGATCCAGAGTCGACCCAGACGACTGAAATGGAATCGGCGTATGAGATGGGCCTGATGTCGGCTCGTGAGTTGGGGCTGAAGTCGGCTCGTAAGATTGGCTCGCTATCGATTCATTAAGAGCTGCACTTGTCGGCCGAGGAGATTGGCTTGAGGTTAGCTCATGAATGTCTCTAGTCGACGCAGAAGATGGACCTGAGATCGACTGAGACGATCTCAAACTTGACTCGCGAGTAGATTGACTCGAAGTCGGTCGAGAGGATGGATCTCCAGTTGACGAGGATGGGTTTCCAGTCGATGAAAATGTACGAGAAGACAAGAGCGGAGGGGTTCCAGAAGACTCTACCGGCATCGAATGAGAGGAATTGTCTGACATTGGACTCGTCTGAGCTTCGGCAGTCTTCGAGGATAGACCACTACCTACAGTCGTCGATAACTCTCCGATCGTCTGACCACTGCCACCACCGAGTCCCGCCGTCTCGGATGAGTTTCTCGTGTTTCCGTCTCCTGAATTGCGAGTGATCGCAAAATCGGTGGGTACGGATGAGGAGACGATGGTGGTGACTGCGGACGTCACGCCTTGACGTTCGGGAGTGGAGCTAGAATTCGATTCCAGATCGTTTCGGGATACCGTCGTCATCGTCGCAGAATCCGTCACGTCCCATCGACTCGATTCCGCATCCGAAGAGTAATTCCGCGTCGCATTCAGAAGTCCCTTGGAGATCACGGCGGAATCCAGCGTCCCGATGGAGGATGCCATCGTCGTCGTCGTCGAAGCCACCGTCGTATTCCTTGTTTCCATTGAATTTAGGCTATCGTCAGACGTCGCGAAGGAATGAGAAGCAACCAGAGAGAGTGTCGCGGCTTCAGAGGACTCAGTCGTCACAGCACCCATCGGTGAAGTTGTGTTACTTTCCTGTGCTATGGTTATCCCTGTAAATAGAACCCGAAATCAGTGGTTTTCCAACTCTCGATGCAAAGGGTCAAATATAATTTGGTCCTTAAAGAACGATAATTGGGAATTTTGATTAACAGAGATATGCCCGGGAGATTGCATGATTTCTTTGCTTACGCTAACGCGAGTGAATCCAAGTCGACAATGGCTAAGAGATACAGTAAGATTGATTTGGGATTGATAACCTGTTCAGATCTCAGAGATTGTAACTCGCATCTTCAAATCAGTCAGGATGTAGCGGTACCTCTAAGAGTAATTTTCAAGAATGTGTTTCGTATGGGAAGTTCATAGGAATTGGAAATGAGCGACTGTAGTACCGATCCATAAGAAGGGGAATGAGAGCAATTTCGGAAATTGTCGGCTGGTCGGTCTCACGAGAATTCTGGTATAGATCATGGGAAGCATTTCAAGGGTTCATATCGTAGTTTGAAGACGCCCTCAGAAAGAGTTAACCCCCGGCGGATGCAAGTGAACATTGGGGCATCTCAAGACTGATTCACGAGGAGGCATTCATGTCTCAATTAATTGCTAGAATTTTAAGATTGGGTAACGGGTATGGTGAATAAAGGGAACCCTATAGACATCGTCCGTTTAGATTTTTATGAAGCTTCTAATAGCGCTCATTCAATGAAATTAATGCTAAATCGGAGGTAGATTAGGTTTAAATTAGGGTGATTAACAGAATAAATAACTGGTTGACAGAAAGAGAGCATACTCTTTATAAGCTGCAAAGTCAGTGGCGTATTTTGGCTGAAGAGTCAGGAGGGGGGAGGGGGCTGGGCAACAGAGCGAGGTCGCTAAACCCCACCCGAGCAATATCAAAGAAGAAAAATATTTCTAAGGGGGCGCTTAGCTCTGTCCCAGGGACGCAAGGGGGACGGCCGCCCCTCCTGTCCCCCGTAAAATATGCCACTGGGCAAAGTGTCTTCAAAAGCTGAAGTTACGAGAGGAATGCCTTAGGGCTCCGTCTTAGGACAACTGTTTCTCTCTGTTACATTAATTATTTAGATGAAAGTAATATGACTTCGGCACATTAGTAAACTCACCGACGACACGAAAACAGGATTCTCCATCACCAGGGAGGAGAAGTGGCATATTAAGTATGACCGAAATCAATAAAGCATAATACATAGGAATCTCTGGATAAACACGGTGTGGATGGGCTCGAGGGGGCAAATTAAAAAAGAGATATAGGAGTTAATATCGAGCAGGGACTGAAATTCGTCAAGCACGCACGATCGACAGTAACCAAGTGCTTCAGAGTCTTGAGCTTCACTCTCGGCATTCAATTGCGAATAAGAGCTCTATTACTATTCTTCGAGGTCCCATTTAGAGCATTGTGCTCAATTTTGGAGACCTGGTAATAAGAGAGACGTAATGGCGTTAGAGAGGGTCCGGAATCGGGCCACTAAACTAATGAGGACTTTCATGAGGGAGGCGTTTGGAGACTTTCCAACTGTATATTCTGGAGGCATGGCTAACCAAGGGCTGATCTCATCCAAGCATTTTAGGAAAATTTAAGGCTTTCATAGCATGAAGCATAGTAGGGTTTTCGATCTTGATGGTAACATCACAACGAAGGGGAACCGGTTCAAGTTGCGTAAGTTTCACGCAATACTCAAGTTGTGGAATAACTTTTTAAAATTACTTTTCTGGTGTGCGTGGAGCGCATTAGGTGAAGTACAGTAGTAGCTTCCCTTCCGTAGAAGGCTTTTAATAGCGGCTATATACCTTCATGGTCATCTTCAAAAAACAAAAGCGGAGCTATATCGCCGTACTGGGTACTGGGTGAGTGATCGACAAACGCCTGCGAAAAACACCATACTTTCAAGGGTATGTCTATCTTAAATTGGGAGAAGGATTAGCATGAACGCTGGACTGGAACTAGAAATGTCAACATGGACTTAAATTAAATGCCTCTTGGCGTCGGGCTAAAACCTTTGATCCTTGAACCTGGTGTACGGGTTGGAACAGGATAACCGTCGCCGAGGTGGTGGACGAAGAAGGGATAAAGGGGAAGGGACCCAAGATCAAGATTCAAGCTTGACATTTCCATCAAATATATCGATGACAAGTTCATCCTCGGAGTGCAAGGTATTCCGGAAATGAAGGGCAACGAGAAGGTTCGAAACTTCCCTCGAATGACTCATTGTTGTTAAATCGATGTCAATCTCTCCGATGTACGACAGGATACATTACTATGAATGCAATAGATAACATTCGAAGAGTCACGGTTGAACCTTCCTGTAGCTGCGAAAGTGTTTGCATTTTGACTCAAAGCTCCACGACCAGGTGGTACGCCAAGCGCGTTCTACCTTGACTGAACGAGGGTGTTGAATAAGTTTTGAGGCTGTTTGAAGACTTGAAGAGGCATTTCGAGGGGAATATCCTCGAGGTCCTCATTTTGCTGTAAGATGCTGAAGTGCCTCTTGAAAATTACCCCGATACGATCGGAATCGATGGAATGCGGGACGAAGGAACTTTAACTTCATCCTTTTCGGGAATGGCGTAGACGGGACATCATTTCATATCCTTTGCATGCACCAACATATCCCGGAAATCAGTGAGGAACTAATTAAGGTACGAATTCATCTGTTATTTTTGATAGAGTGCGAATACAAGACTGTCGTCGCTCGACCTTGACTCGGGATGTCAACACGGACATGAATGCCATAAGGCGTCCCTGCTCAAACTTCGAACCCTCAGACATTAAATGGACGACGATAGGGGAAAGTCCATCAGTCTGCTTTCCTTGGATATCAGGAAGGCTTCCATGGAAAAAAAAAAGGAAGGAGAATACCAACACGTCGCACACTCTTGGAACTTCATTCTCCTATCACCGTCTATCACGTTTCCACATTCTTTTTTCTCTATTTTCGTCTTTTGACATGGACTCATCTATATATTAATATATACAGTATATATATATATATGAAAAGAATATCCCTTTGGGATAACATATTCAGGACAACCCAGGTGCTGGGAGCGATAGCCGACAACAACAGACACCTAGGCTATATATATTCTCACGAATATACGAGTATATATATATATTTAGGAGGTATTAAATTCACCCTTTCCCACCTCTCGATTTCTCTTCTAGGCAAATCTTTTACCAAGGCAGTTTTCACGTGGTTTCCTGTCGTTAAATAGCCAGTAAATAAGCCTCGTGTTCAGGGTGGCTGCACACCAACGCGGACCGAAGCGGAGCGTTTTTTATGCTGAAATTAAGACCGTGTTTGTAATGGGACTATGTGAAACGAAGCGGACCGGATCAGAGAAAGACAGAAGGAAATGCATCCAGTGCGGTCGGAGGATCTTCACATTGACCGGGTTACAACTCGATGACATGGACTTGACACCAGTCAAAATCCCTGGCTCTCATAAGGTTATTTGAAGACTTTCTCATTGTCTTCACTGATGGCAGACCAAGTACACACCCCATATGCTTTGTCGGATACGGCCAATATAGTCGTGGGACTGGAACGAGAGAAACATTGGGAGTCTGTTAATAAATTGACGGTATGAGAAAACCTCGTGTCTGGCAGAGACGTAAAAGTAAACGTCGACTTATTGCATGCCATCTATCCATCAAAGAAAAAATACTACCATCATGATTGTATCTTTACGACGAAATACCAGAAGGCTTATATTGCAGCATTTCTCTTTCGATATTTGCTTATTCGTGCAGATTGACCGCATCCGGTGAGAGGCGGGCTGACAACCTCGCGAAAAGGTGATTTGGATAATCTCTTCATTGTATCTACTTCAAGCACGAGCTGGGGGCTACGAAAGGGAAGTGAGAAAGGAATAAAGGAAAGAAAAT